AGACCTTCACCCTCCAGGTAAATATGCACAGAATCACACTCTGGGTCACTGGATGCCCCTGTTGTTGCTGAAATCCTGGGAGATGGGTTTTCATTGCCTTTAGATTAATGTTAATACCTATTATTTGTACTGGCACAAAAATGAGTGTCGCTGTGCACATTTTATCAGTGGAGTCTTGGTGACCTGGTACTTTGTGATACAAAGTGACATATTTCTTTTTATTTAAAACATGTGTATACTGCCTGATAATATTTTTAAATATTAAGCTTAATTCTATTGGCCCTCACTCATGCCTTACTGCATTTAGGCACTGGTTGAGCATGTCTGCAGTGTCAACCAAGGACAATGTGACGCACATCTGGGTGTCATCAACACACTGGTGACACTTCACCTGAATCCCCAGATGCCCTTTCTCAGAATCTTTATATATGAATGAGCATGTGGAATAAGATGAATCCTTGTGAGACCCCCTGCACAGGCAGAAGTCCCCCAGTGCAACTCTTTAAAGTGACCCTGTCAGTAGGAGCAGAACCAGTCTAGCATCGTGCTATGAACTCCTAACTTACAGAGCCAATCCCAAAGGATACAGTGGTCCCTGTTATCAAAAGCTGCTAAGAGGTCAAGGAGAATCAGAAGTGTCACACTCCCCCGTCTCTCTCCTAGTAGAGGCCATCTATCAGCATGGTCAAAGTTGCTTTGGTACCAAAACCAGGTACCTACAAGAAGATTCAAATTGGTCTCAATTATCCATCTCATCCCACAGAGTCTGAAGGAAGATGGCCAGCATCCACTTGAGAGCACCTTCATAAAAAGGGGAATATTTGTGATTGGCAACGCTTGTTGCAATCACCTGGTTCAAAGGAGGCCTTTTTTCAGGAGCAAGAATGATGGGTGAGAATTTAATTGATACACTATCCTTTCCAGAGAGATTTAAAGGTAAAGGTACCCCTGCCCGTACGGGCCAGTCGTGTCCGACTCTAGGGTTGTGCGCTCATCTCACTTAAGAGGCCGGGAGCCAGCGCTGTCCGAAGACACTTCCGGGTCATGTGGCCAGTGTGACGAAGCTGCTCTGGCGAGCCAGCACCAGCGCAGCACACGGAAATGCCGTTTACCTTCCCGCTATAAAGCGGTACCTATTTATCTACTTGCACTTAGGGGTGCTTTCGAACTGCTAGGTGGGCAGGAGCTGGGACCGAAAGACGGGAGCTCACCCTGCCGTGGGGATTCGAACCGCCGACCATACGATCAGCAAGTCCTAGGCACTGAGGTTTTACCCACAGCGCCACCTGTGTCCCTTCCAGAGAGATTTAGATCCATCTAAATTTCACCAGAAAATGATCTAGGAATGGGGACATTCCTACCTCCACAACTACTAACAACTCCTTGTTCAGCACCAGGGCTACCATATGGCCTGCTTTGTGTGTCAGAATGATATGCTGGCATAGCCCCGTGGCTATCATGATGATTCCTCTTCAGTTTATTGGCCCCCATACAGTCCATCGCTGCCTCCAGAGACCTGTCCAACACCTTCACAGCACCTCCTGATTCGGATGGAATGGAGACATGGGAATGCATGCTCTCAACATACTGATGACACTGTACTCCAAACCTCTGAATGAGAGCTCCCAGTGGTTTCATATAGATGTTAAACTGCATAGGAGACGGAATGGACCCTTTGCGGACCACACAGCCCAAAAGCCATGTAGCTGAGCAACAATCTCCTAATACTATTTTCCAGTAGCAATCCAGCAGGTAGGAACAGAACCACTGGAATACAGTAGCTCCAACTCTACCTCCTTCAGTCCCTCCAGAAGAACCCCATGGTCAAAAGCACTGGAAGGTCGAGGAGAGCCAACAGGGTAGGATTCCCCATCTGTCTCCTAATAAAGGAGAAAGAATCTTAGAGGGTTCAGGGAAGGCTATGTAGCACACAATGGTCTGCCCACTCCCCATCTCTCAGTACCTGCTGCCTGAGGTGCTGCTTCACATTGCCTCATGATAGGGCCTATCCTAATCCACAAAAGCAATGAGATTAGAATTTTATAAGCCCTGGGAACAGTGAATGAAAAACAGACAATATTTTAACCCTTCTTTAGAAACAGGATAAATAAACTCTCAGTGCTTAACTATCTGCATCCATGCAAGCATTTTGTTTCTTTGTTTGAGAGTTATTTTCCTAATCCCTGCTTTGTTGTTTGGCATTATATGAACAGTATGAAAATGGTCTCACTGCACCATAATTTAACAATGTGAATATAAAACATGGAGACTTCGGGGCTCTTGGTGGCAATCCAGCAACAGATAATAAGACTCCTGTTATGAGAGAAGAATATGCTATGGAAGGACAACAATAGTAGAAGGGATCATCCTCATCAGGTTTATTCATGTTTCATTTATGGAGAAAGCACTCTGTAAATCCAAATCATCCACCTGTGTTGCACCACAACCCTCATAAGCATATGCAGGCATCATGTATTATTTTACTCTCACCTTCATGTGTTGAAATTATGGGCAATTGTGTTCACATATTGGGTGCATTGCGGTTGAGCTGTTTTTTAAACAGTAGCACCGTGAAGTTCTACATTCTTTCTTTGATAAATTCACGAGCAACCATGCTTCATTTTTGTCCTCCAAGCGTTTTTAAAAAAAATAAATTGTGAATTACTTATGTATTATCATTATAATAGTTCCTTGACTGAGCAGTTCTATACTTATTATTACATGATGGGATATATAGCCCTGCTGCAGGGTTGGAGAAGCCGCCATATCCAATGGAGAAGCCATGATATCTGAGAACATTCCAAAATGGTGGGCAAATGACAAGAAGCACAGTCCCTGGAAACTCTGCCAGTGCCCACCAATCAGGGACTGTGCTGACAGTGAAACCTCAGACAGAAGCAGCCAATGAGCTCGTTACAGTAAGCACATCTTCCCTTGCATCACCACACACATAACATGCAAGACAATGCTAAACCTCCATCAGTCCCAGTGGTACATCCAGGAACAACTTCTCTACTGCAAGTCCCCAGGCATACGGATAGACATGGGTTCAAATCCCCTCGTGCTACTCACAAGGATGGTTTTCGAGGCACATAACAGAGCCCCCAACTCCATGTGCAAGGCGCACACAGCCCTCCAAGGACAAGGGTTCAAGTCCTACCCAGGGAGGAACTCTCCTCTGACAAGCAGCCAAAGGGTGCAGCAAGAACATGGGAAGAGAAGCACTGCATTAACAACGCCATAGGGCATGGAGTTGGTAGGCGCTCACATTTTGCATATCTTGGTGTGGGGAGAATCATGTCGGGAGCAAAATAGAGGGAGTGCCTGGAGCTCCAAGCCACACTGTGAACACCACACAGAGCAGCACTCAATCGCAGTAGCAGAGAGGAATGAGACACATCATGGGACATTTGCCTATCGCTGTCCCCATCCCCAGCTGAAGGGATGCTTGTCACCATAAATCTAAGAGGGGTATCACAGAGTTAGCTACTTTTAGATAGGGGACAGCAAACTTTTTCAGCAGGGGGCTGGTCCACTGTCCCTCAGACCTTGGGGGGGCTGGACTATATGGGGGGGAGAGAGAATGAACGAATTCCTATGCCCCACAAATAACCCAGAGATGCATTTTAAATAAAAGCACACATTTTACTCATGTAGAAACACGCTGATTCCCAGACCACCTGCAGGCTGGATTTAGAAGGTGATTGGGCTGGATCTGGCCCCCGGGCCTTAGTTTGCCTACGCATGTTTTATTTTTATTTTAAATCATTTTTATTAATTTTCCAATAAAAAACATCCAATTAATATATCCAATCATAATCCAATTAAAATAAAAAAACTAAAATAAAAAAGACCAAATTATAATCCAAATTATAATTATTGATTTTTAGAGGTTTCCCAAAGTTTTACTCCATGTTTTCGCATCTTCCCCTCATGTTCTTTATACTTCCTTCGTTCACTGTCCACTCATTCACCTCCAGCAACGAGGCACTATAGTAGCTCCATCTTTGAACAATCCGTGCAATTTTCATGCTTTCAGAGCATAGCTGTTGCGAAGCTGAATGGCACTCTTGATAATACACTGCAAATGTGCTTCCTTTTTATTTTGCATAGCTGACTGGTTCACACGCTCAGCAGAATTCAGGTGAACTTGCACGGCAATAACCGCCTTCATTATTCCTGTAGATAGGTGACACAACTCTGAGTAAATGTAATAATATCATTATAGAGGAGAGGCAGCTGCTGGATAGACCCTCCAATAAATAGAAGCTCAAGTTCAGACTCAAGGGCTTCAGAAACCCAGTGGGCTTCCATTCATATTCTAAATCAATCAGCAGCTGGAGAAACCTTCTTCTTTCTCTGCTTCTCAGCTCAATAAGCAGCTGTTACGGTATAAGGCATCTTCCTATGTAATGAGTAATAACTCTCAGAATTATTTGAAGTTCTTAACTTCTGACATATACAAAAAGCATCCAGACACACACACACACACACACCAGTATTATACTTTATTTAAGTTACTGAACTTTAAACCTGGCGTGTGTAGATACAGGAATAATATTTTTAATCATAATCATAAATTTCTTATGCCCTAGCCATCTTACTAGGTTGCCCCAGCTACTCTGGGCATCTTCCAAGGAACATATTTGATGATATGCACTAACATCAGTCTAGCAAAACAGATAGCTTTGAACTCATCGCTCTCCTTTTTTAAGTTTAGATGTGACTGTTTTTATTAAATCTGTACCATTTTATTTCCCATAACTATAATTTATTAGAATTTTGCTTTCTTAGTTTACATCAAACATATATTTGAGCAAAGTCCTGCCATGGTTTTGTAATATCACTTTCTGACCCAAGCAATGTTTGTTTGCTTGGTCAATCAATAATGTACCCAAAATATGCTGGTTCATCAAAAAAGATGTCCAAGATAATCATGTGACCGAATATCCCTCACTATAAAAGTGGCAGCAACCCATTCAGCTGTACCTTCCTCATCCATGATGAAGGCCTTAATTCTAGCACTGGCATTGACCCTTGTGGGTAAGTATAGATGTACTATCTATCAGAAATGCTGGGGGGGGGGAAGTGTTACAGAAATTTCAAATGTAAAACAGTACAGTGGTACCTTGGTTTACAGACACTTCAGGTTACAGACTCCGCTGACCCAGAAATAGTACCTCGGGTTAAGAACTTTCCTTCAGGATGAGAACAGAAATCGCATGACGGCGGCGCAGCGGCAGCAGGAGGCCCCATTAGCTAAAGTGGTACCTCAGGTTAAGAACAGTTTCAGGTTAAGAACGGACCTCTAGAACGAATTAAGTTCTTAACCCGAGGTACCACTGTTTCATAGCTCTCTATTATAGCAAATAATGGGATGTGGTTCATTTTGGCTCATTCCAACTCAGACCCATTGAAATCAGTGGGTGGTATTCAGTTAAGTCTGTCTCAGAGCAGACCTATTAAAATCAATGGATATAATGTATTTTTCCGAGCATAAGACACCCCTGTGTATTTTGGGGGACTCCAAATTAAGAAAATGGGAGGAAATTGCCCCATGTATAAGGTGACCCCCCTTTTCTTAACATAATTTTAAAGGAAAAAAACCTAGTCTTATACACAGAAAAGTACAGTACCATAGTCACATCCACTAATTTCAATGTGTCTGGTCTTCTCTGAGTGTGACTGAGTGTGAACTTAAAATTCTTATCAGTAAATGGAAAATACCTAAAAGGTTTGCATGAATAAAACAACATTTTTTTAAAAAAACACCTCTTTTTTTGGCACAATTTGTAAGATGCTTAACTGTAAATAAAACCTCTAAGCAGTTTACAAAGATTTCATGCCTATGTATTCCCAAAAAAACATGAAGTACAAATATTCATGGAACAAATGCATTTTCTCTGTTTTAACTTTATTTTTTATCTTTCAGGTTGTCAGCAACAAAAACGTAAGTATCTAAAAAAGAAGTATGCAATTTTGAAAACTGTTTGGCAGTTTTTCGAAATATTTGACGTGATATTTTTCACATGTTGCCTATAATATTTCTTTGGACTTCCCTCCCTCCAGAAATCGAAGGTGATGTTGCCACATATGCAGTCGAATTTCAAAATACAATCAGACTCCCAGGAAAAGGTGCAGGAAGCTCTGGACTGAAATTAAAATGTAAAATTGCCATCGGCCAAATTGCACCAGACCGTAAAGTTCTACAGGTAAGGGAACTTTTTCAGTCTTGAAAGTTAACTTTCTCTGTGAGTTTTTAAGGTTGAGGGGAAAATAATTCAATTTTGTCATGCAACTTGCATAGACCTTACCTAATAGTATTATTATTTATGCAATGAGCGAAATTCCTTTTCACACATTACCAGGCAATTCTCAGTCAGCTCAAGCCAAACTCAGGCTTGAAGGATTTATTCTGCTTAGTGGTCAAAAAAGACAATCGGATGTAATTTCAGATGCACAATAATTTTATTGTGGCATCAATTCAATTGTTCTCAAACTGTGATGCCTTGAAAATTATTTAATCAAATGATGGTTGTAACTAATAAACAAAGACTAATGCATTTTCTAACAAAGTGGGATGTCATTGAATATTGACAATTCTAAATTTCATGTGGCTACTTCAGTACCTGCAGAGCGCAATGATATTCTATGCACCACTCTGCATATTTTGAGCAATCTGGTGACATTTAAATTTTTTTAAAAATAACGAATGCAGCATGAAAACCTTTGCTGCCTTTTCCTACTGAAATTGCGGGGGGGGGGGTGAGAAAGGGTTTCCCCATAGGTTTGCAGCAGAGCCCATTGTTCCCTGTCATCCTGTCCTGGTGCCAGACGTAACCCTGTTATCCTACCCTAGATTCACTTCAGATCATAGCCTGGCTACACATAGAGAAAGCTTTGTAAACCCTTCTGGGTCAGAAATTATGTGGGCTTGCTCTAGGCTGAAGACAAGACATAATACAAGAGTAGGGTTCAAAGTCGGTTAACATATTCAAAGCCCTCCTTCTCAGTAATAATAACACACCAGACTTGACCCACTCTGCTTGCTCACTCACTTGCACTGCATCCACTTTCTCCTTCCTTTCTGATAGTGTCTGCAGCAAAGGGTCTAAGACAACGCCATTTCCATTCCAGAGACCTGAATGTCTGTTTCCCAGATGGTAGAGATGCAAGAAGCTGCAATGGGAGTGGTGGCAAGTGAGAGTAATAAGGAACAGGAGGAAGCAGCAAGACTGCTTTGGTTAGCTGATTAGCCTGTCAGCCCAGGACAAAACTGGCCTCTTGGCAAAGGGGAAGGATTCTATTATCATACTACATTTGTCTTCACTTGTAGTTTTCTTGAAAACTCTTAAAGGTCAAGTCAGTGAAAATAAAATGGCTTAGTTAGCGTCACTTCAGCATTCTTTTAGGCTTCCGATTTCAAATGGCTAGCCTTAGATACAGTAAAAAGATTCTTACACATGTAGTAATGAAGTCCTGTCATTAACATGAATGTGTAGTTTACATGTGGTAAAATAGATGCTAGGCGGAAAACATTTAAGCTCTAATTTGTGTGGTTTTGAGAAGGTGTGGTTTTGAAGACTGCCGTTTAAATAACCTATATGGATTCTAAAGGGAGGTGGAAAATAACATGAAATTTACTCTTTGTGTGTGTGTGTGACAGCTTCATAGCGTTGAAGTGCTTGAGCTCAATGGCATCCAGCCACAGCAGGACTTCAAGCAGTCATCCAAGCTGACCAAGATGTTTGAGGAAGACTTACCTGGCATAGTTACATTTCGCCACAGGAAAGGCTTTGTTGATGACATCATGGCTTCAGGACACTTCTCAGAATATAAACTTGGAGTCTTCAAAGGTCTTCTGAACAACCTGCAATATTCCATGAAGCTAGACCAGAAAAGCTACAACTTAAGAGAGGTGAACTTTTAATTTCCGTTGCATTTATAGTACTGTGGCTTTTATTTTCACACTAGGCACTTACGATTATATGCTATTTTTATTCGTATTCTCTCTATTCCTGAGAATTTCAAAGAACTTCACGTACATTTTATCAGCAGTCCTTTCAATAGCTGTAAGACTGGCCAGTTTATTCTAATATAATAGTTTGCGGGTGGGTGGGGAGCAGCTGTAAACTGAAAGAATGTGTCTTACTTAAGGCTACTTGCTGAGTTTGTAGGTCATATTTGAACCAGCACATCGCTGTTGACGTTAACTACATCATATTCCTCCAATACCACAACAAAGTTAATAGACCAATATGGATTATAAATCTATAGAAATAAGCAGGAATCAAACTTCCATCCCTAAAATGAGACTCATGCACTTGAATTCAAAGAATGAATTGGAGTCAACAGATAAACTTCTTAGCTCTGGTTTAGATCATAATGATCAAATGATGTGGTCATTACACACACACACACACACACACACACACCATAATTTCCATTTGCAGTTGCAGATGATCAAATTACCTTTAGAATACCTAATCTCCTACAAAATAAATCTGGCCAAGTTAAAACTGCCTTGGGGATAAGCTTGCAATAGAGTGATGTCAGGACTACACTATGTTAAATTGTAATTTGGCTCATATTGAAATCCTGACTACAGACTACAGTTAATTTCACTTTCACAGTCCCGTATTTACATTAATCAAGCCAATTTTGATTCAGATGTTGATATTTGAAAACGTTTGAAATTATTTTTTGGTATGAAATTTAGAATAGGGTTGCTTTAATTTAGAAAACAAATACTTTAATACAGTAATATTTAATTTAGGAAATTGGTTTGGAAACTGCGACCAATATTCTGTCCCTGTATCACATTGTGCCTAGTTTTATAGCCATCCTATTTTTTCCTCCACACTTCCCATTGCCCTAAGTAGGCATCAGACAATGGCATGTGACATCTGTTACCTGATCCTATGTACTGTGGATAATAAGTTATTCCTTTTGTCTCTCCTGAATCTCCCATCATTCAGCTTTGCCTCAGATTCTCATATTATAAAAGTGGGAGAACAAATTCTCTCTTTCCGTGTCAATGCATAATGGCATATACCTCTTTCATTGCTGCCGCCGCCCCCCCCCAAAAAAAATTACTTGCCTTTTTCTTAACTAAAAAGTCCCAAATGTTGTAGCCTTTTTCTCAGAGTGGTTTGATCCAGGTCCTTTGTTATTTTGTTGCCAATTTTGAATTCCTTCCATTTAAATCCTTTTGACTTAATGCAGGCAAACCAGGTGATACCAGGGTTAGCTGTACAGTTTTAGAATTTATTTTTTATTTTGTTGCATGATATCAGCATTAAGTAGCTTATTATCATTTTTATCATCTGATAAACCGTTTGAGGAGGAGTAGGCAATGAGATTTTAATGATCTAGCCTAATGACTTAAATGACTGTGATCACAGCTTGCCAAGGTGTTCTGTGTGGCCAATGCGATGTCCCTACTTATGGTTACTCACCCACAAGAAGCTTGTTTTGGGAAGGGGCAAGCGTGGGAAATACTTCAAGGGCCAAACGTCACACATTTTGAACTGCATGAAGTGCCGGCATGTTCTTCCAGTGCAAGCTCTTCCCCCTTCCTTTCATTTAATGTTGAGTTCCTAGTTTGTGGGACTGATCTGATTTTCAGGGTGCAAATTTGCTCATTACCTAACGGCCGAGCATAAGGCATATGGAAGGCACTCCAGACTTGAAACACTTTGAAAAACAGTATTCAAACTTGGTAAAAACTCTGTGCATATACTGATATTGCACTTCTGATGAATACAAAATCATGTCGTGATGTTATAGATCTGAGTGAAACCTGCTAATGTAAGAAAAGAGAGTTAAGGTTCCTCAGTTCTTCAGTGGTGCTTAATTATTGCTGCTTTCATGGCACATCTGCTTCTAAGGATTCTAACAGAGGATTGTGTGAGTTGTAGATTAGGTGTAATGGGATTTTTAGGAGCAAAGAGCCAGCCCCGACTCTGAAATCTCTTGCTTTTGAGGTTTCATTCTGACTGATCAAATTATTTCACCACATTTTTTATTAAAATTTTCAAATTATCCTTCATATACAATAAGCCCTAATTGGAACTGAATAAAGAACTTCCCAGTGGGACAAGCCATGGCTTCACTGAAGTCCGTCGGGGTTTGCCAGTGATCTTTCAGTAGAAACCTGTGTTGGAATTTTTGACGAGAAATGTGTGTAAGGGGAGGGGGGGACGGATATAAGAAAAACTGAGAGGTTCATTAAAGGAGTTAGAGTAGGGTTATTTAAGGCAATTTCACAACAAGACCAATATTCTCTCAATGAACCTGCCAATCTGATTTATTTATTCGTTTTACAGAATAGTATTTGGGGGAGGTGCAACACAACATACCTCGTTCAAAATGCTGTTAAAGCCGATGAGATCTTCATGACCAAGTCCATGGACTTAAACGACTGTGACAACGCTGCTTTCAAGATCTTTGGTGCGTCGCATGTTACTCCATGTGAAGCCTGTCAACAGGTTAGTATGGGGGTTGTGTGTATATATTTATATCATCTGTGGTCCTGTTCACATTTGCAAGAAGATCCACGATTGGTTGTTCATTTGCAGACAGTTGCATGGATGCTGACCTCTGTTGCAAGCCATTCATTTGCAGGATTTGCCATTCTGTTCAAGCAGTTTTAACATGCGATCACAAGCTGCTAGGTGGGTGGGGGTGGGGGCAATGATGTGGTAAAATTGCTGGTACCATATAGTTAGACACACATGGGTTTCCATGTAGAGCAGTCACAATGTTGCATTGCACTGCAACCAAACTATGCAGCTGCTTGCATGTGCCATTTATGCCTGAGTTGGAAAGCATAAACCACAGAGGGAGGCAGTCAAGCTGGCTGTAAAGGTGAAGAGGAGAAAGAGGTCTAGAGGACCCTTGTCAGTGACCCCCTCCCCCTTGTTGGGTTCTAGACCCAGATGGCCATGTTACATATATTTTACACCATTTTTTCCTCTCCACCTTTTTTCTTCAAAATGGCTGGTGGGGTGGAGAGCAGAGGGAGAAGTGGTGGGGGGAGCTCAGAAACAATATTATTTTCTGATAGGACAATCTTGTTCCTTTCTTTCTCCTTCTCTCTCTCTCTCCTCTCCAAGCAATCCAATAGAGATCTTTTGGGCATCACGTGCCTGGATAGATTCTGTGGTCTGCTAGCTGCCAAACACAGCTGTAGAGATTGCTAATGTAAAATAATATTGATTGGGTTGTATCCAGTGCTTTTTTCTAGAAAACACATGCCGGTACTCACCATGAAGTTGTTACTATAAGTGTCACACTTATTAACCAAAAAAGGAGAGGTGCCGGCAATACACATCCTTGAACGCACTGGTTGTATCCAAACAAGTTCTCCTCAGATTGGACCAATTGAAGTGAATGGGCATAAATTAGCCGTGTGCCCATTACATTCCATGTTTCTGCTCTGCATGGACCCAGCATTGGGTGCAATCCTACGTGTGATGATTTCTGAACTTGCTATGATTATGTTAAAAATTCTAATATATGACTTGCCGCTGCCTGTTTTCGTACAGAAAGTCAAACCTTTCCAAGGCTCAGCTACATTCAAGTACAGATTTAGGGATGCACAAAAGGGAGACAACGAGAGAACGATTATGCAGGTCGAAGGTGTGGAAATCCGTGAGTTCGCACCATTCAATGAGCTTAGTGGAGCAACAGGCATCATGGAGGCCAGGTACCGTACCTTTGTATAACTGCTCCCTTTTTACAAATGCTTTTCAATTTATCACTTCGTTAGGCTTGCCATACGTCAGGAAAATTCCTGACATGTACTGGTTTTCGCTATTTTTGAGTTAGGTTCCTAAACAAAAAGCTCGACCATTTTGTTGGTTTCCTAATGAAAAATGAAAAAATGGCAACCCTAAATTCATCATCCCAAATTACCTAGTCAAACTCCTTAAGAGTAGTCTCAATATCTACCAGCATTTCATTTCATAAACCTATGGATTTCCCTGGAGTGTCATGGTTAGCTATAAATCTGAAACATATGCACACATATAAAAACCATAACAAATATAATTTGATTTTTAAAAAGGTATACAGTAATTTAAAGCGTGGAAGCCCAGTGAATAGGAGAATCCTGGAAAATCACAGTGCAGTAGTGAAAAAATCTCTTCAGGCCAAAGTACATGTGATAGCAGTTCATGTTTAAACATGTGCTTAGCTTCCCTGGTTTTATTTTGGAGAAAAAGGAGCCCTGATGCCCCAATCTGGAACAAGCTCCTAATCTGGATTGGGGATGCTGCACTGATTTTCTCCTGAATGTCTTCTTTTTGAGGGGTAGGGGTAGTTCTCTTGTACTTGATATGGCTGCTTCCCTTTTTTAGGACTGTGTTTCATATTAATAAACAAGGGTTTCTTTAAAAGAACAATACACCCATTGAAATGAATATGCAAAAGTTTGTAGAAGTCAGCAGATATGACTAAGATTGAGTATTACCCATTATGTGTTTAGATTCAGCAAATCTTCATAATCCGAAGGTCAGATCCACCTTCAAGTAAAGAAGCATTTTAAATTTACATACTATATTTGCTAGTTTAGTCCTGTTTTTTCTGCTGCAAAAGGAAAATTATTATTATTATTATTATTATTGCAAAGCCAAGAGACAAAAAACAGCTTTCTGTATTTACTATTTGCTCACTAAATGTCATTGGATCTTTCCACACTAGGCTTAAAATGGTATTCATCGATATGCATGGCCACTTGCCACATGTCCCTTCTGACCTGAAGAGATGGGGCTCACTTACCTACAGGTTTAATTATGAACTTCCTCCTCTTCCTATTCCATTGATAAAGAGCAACAACGTAGAGAGAGAAGTAAGTTTTAAAAATGGTAATGCAAATGGAACTTTGCAACATACCAGTGTTCTTTGCCTGAGGCATTAAACAATACCTGACAATGCTCTCTTTTTTATTTTATTTTTTTAAAAAATCTATCCAACAGATTGAGGAAAGATTGCAGTATTTGGCAGGACACCCAAATGCAAAGTTTCCAAGAGATGGTGCAATTAAATACCTGCAGGCTATCGAACTTGTGCGTGAGATGAACGATACAAAATATTTAGATTCGCTCTTTAGAAAACACGCCAATGAGCCAACACTCAGGTAAGATAACAGAGGAAGTGTGTTATGCTTTTCATGCTTGAAAAGCATAATTGAATAAGATCTAAATTAAAGTGATCAGAGCTCAGACTTGATTGCTGCTTCTTTTCTTGTAGACACCTCATCGTACAACTAGCTGCTGCTGCTGGTACTCCAGATGCACTTAGATTCTTGAAACATAGGTTTGATCAGAGAGAAATCAGCAGGATTGAAGCGACAATGGCATTTGTTACCTTCTTTCATACCTGCACTCCATCTCCAGAAATCCTAGAAACAGCTATGGTAAAATACATCTTGCATTACGGGGGTTTTTGTTTGCTGATGTTGGCTTTCCCTGAATTGATCTTTTTGCGGGGCGGGGGGTTTGCAAGAATAAGTGCATGCGACTTTAAGATTTGACAGTTCCTACAACCTAGGCATCTTGAAGACTTCAGACTAGAATTGTTCCATCATTGTATCCTCCAGATGTTGCTGGGCTGCAACTCCCACCACCCATGCTGGCTAGGACTAATAGGAGCTGGAGTCCATCAACATGGAGGGCACCATGTTGGCTCTTCCTGATCTAAGTTCTTGTTTTCCATGCCTTTGAACAGCTCTGGCCATGTCCCAAGAGGAGAGAATTCCCATGGGGGCAACAGTTTTTTGAAACACACCAGTTTGGTAATCACCTCAGATATCCATCCTCTCCCCAAGTGCCACAAGCCACTTAAACCCAAACAAATCCTGAATAATAAGTGATATCCAAAGCTACTGATACACAAAGCAGACCCACTGTAGTCAGACAGAAGTAATTTTGGTCCACACGGAGTGGGTCTATTCTAAGTATGATTTCATTGGCTATCCCTCAATATCAGGTAACAGAGCTGTGTAACCACACACATCTGCCAGACAAAAAAACCTATTAATATTTAACTTGAAATTCATAGCAGAGGAAATACAGGCTAGGTCAATATACAAAGGTGTGTGTCAGAGAGTATGAGGCAAATAAAATCTAACCTATATGCATACCGGTTATGTATGGTCCTTTTAAAATGGCAGTTCCTTTGGCAAGCAGGCCAAGATCCTAAGGCTATGGCTATTATTGTTGCAGTGCAGATGATTGATAGCTCTGAAGGCCCATCTTATGGGTTCCTCTTAACTCAGGTCTCTGAAATGCTGTGGGCATCAAGGATGCTATTTGTACTTAAGTTAATTTTATTGGGTGTTATCGCCATACCCAGATAGAGCCACTGAAATCACTGGGCAAGTTCATCATGATGAAATGAAGTGCATTTAATGGTTCTACTCTGAGTTTGACTTAGTTGGAGACAACCCATTTAGTCAAGTCTCTGAGAAATTGTTGGCCTCCTGAAGGCTAGTGTTCTTATGGGCTATGAAACTGAGCTGGAGTTCCCCAGTTCAATTTATACCTCTGCTATGATGAGCCATTACTTCTCCCTTGGCAAGCCCATTATGTATCAGCCACACATTTATAATATAGGAGGAATAATGCTGTCTTACTTGGATAAACAGTTGTAAAAATTACTGAGATGATATACATTTGAAACTCTTGGAACACTATCATTCACTTTATACACTCCCAGCAATTGTTATGCTTTGGGCTATTTTCTCTCATTTAGTCTGAAATGCATTCAGACCTGATTTAATTGATGCATATGTTAAAATGAGATGAATAATTTGTTTTCTGTATGTTTCAAAGACCAACTTTTCTCTCAATAGGCAGTTGTGACAGATGCCCTCAAAGGCCCCAGAAGTTTCTACCGCAGCTTTACCTGCCTTGCCTACGGAACTGTTGTTAAAAAATACTGTTCTTCCTCAGAAACTTGCCCTGACAAATACATCAAGGTATTGTGCCATGTTTCAATGACATTTCATCATTTAAAGAGTAACAATATAAGGTGCTTAAGTTGGCCTATTATTATCAGCTTACAAGTTAAGATGCATGTTTTGAGCACAGTCTTTAGAGGAAATTGCAACACATTGAAAACAATGAGATTTTTTGCTGCTGGTTTCAGTGAGTTCAGGATTACTGTCTTCAATTTGAAATAAAAATAAGGTGGGGGGAATTATTCTTAGCACTACACTACCATGGTATACTTGTCTCAGTAGTTCTCAGAATCTTTACATGTTATTTGTTTAATCAATCATTCAAATAATCATATAATACTGCTATAAAGTACCTGTAATTATTACTGTAAATTCTTTGAAAATATTTAAACTGAGTATCATTCACTCCTCACTGAAAGCAATAGCAACACATATCTAGTCATTTGTTCCAGGTTATCTTAACATTAAGCATGGGCAGGTCAGTCTATTTCTGGTCCATGGCAATTCTGCGTGCGTTACTTTCTATGTCCTTTCCATCCTGCTTCCACATAAATAATAGCCAAATAAATAAAAAAATAGCCACATAAATAATATTTAAATATTTAATGCATTTTTAAATATGCATTTCATTTTAATGTACGTATTCCAACCTAAAATCGGCATTTTCTAAGTTTTTTCAGCCAAAATTTGTAAAGAAATATTTTGAGAAATGTGATATCTAAAGGATAATTATGTCCTGATCTTTGTATTAGTCAAGGAGGTGCAGCTTGTTCTGAATGGGCTTGTACTTCCTCTGAAAGAGCTTTTCTTGGGGGGGGGGTTGCTCCTGTATCCATCTTTCTCACTGGTGCAATATTTCTGGCTGTTCCTGCTTTGGGATGGCTTTAATATGGTAGTCCAGGCATTCATAACATCCATATTGAATTACTGCAATGCACTCTGTGAGGTGCTTTATTTAGGTTGGTCCAGAACCTACAGCTAATGCTGAATGCCTCAGAAAGACTATTGAAGGGGATGCCCTATTGAAAGTGCACAAGACCTCCTATTCTGAAAGACCCGCACTGGCTATGCATATGGTACTTGGCCAAGTTTATTGAGACATAGGAGATGCTGATGTGCAAACCCTGTCAAACCTACTCATGTCTAACTTGAGATCACAGGCTGTTCATAAAGCTGTCCCCAGTATCAATTCAAGATTCAAATCATATCTTTTTTAAAGCAACTATTTTGCAACTAATTTTGAAACCACTTCTTTCCCCCTAAAACAGCCTTTGAATGATTTTGCAGTTAAAGCAAAACGTACATCCGACGTAGATGGACAAATGCTGGTACTGAAGGCCTTAGCAAATGTGGGACATGTCATCATTGAGAAGCCCATCATGAAGACCTTTGCAGCTCTCATTTCTTCTCCTGACTCCCTGCATCCTTGCGCTGCCATCTTAGCTCTAAGAGGCCTTGTCGAGAAGTATCCTGCACGGGTAAGAAGGCATGGCATTTTTGTGGGGATCTTGTGGGTTTTTTTCAACAAAATTATAGAGCTGTTAGGAATATCATTTTTTTCCTAATGCTAATTGATCATGGTGATACATTATTTCTCAAAGACCAGTTGCATTAGGTATAGGTTGGGAATAAATGTCCAAGCGGTGGAGGACTCAGCCCCTGTCTGTGTAGATATGTATACCATTATGTACAGAATTGAAACTCATGGGGGGGGTACAGTGAGAGAGCGGCGTGTGATATATTGCTTTAAACAGCTGAGGCAGCAGATGATGTGCAAGTCACTCACGTTGCCAATGGGTGGTTTATCCAATCCAAATGTGTCTTTCTTCTGTACAAGCAAAAACACAAGCAAAAAAAAACAACAGAAAATATCGCTTTGCATTTTCTCAAGTGGCAGATTTTTCTAGGAGCAGGCCTTTAGAGGCTCTGTTCTCAAAACGCAGAGAAGGAGAAGGGCCTAAATCTTGCCTGGGCATGTTATTCTGAAAAGCAGGAATCAGGAAAGTTAGATTGCAGATAACTGCTTGAAAAGCTCCATCTTGTTTTAACAGAAGTCCCTTACATAATACTGCAAGCCACTGAATTTGATTACTGTATGCTGTGGAAGTTGGGGCTGGCTGCCGTGGTTCAAAGAAGAAGAGCCAAAATGCCTGCTTAGCATGTACAAGCTTTTTGAGCTATGAGCCAAAGTCATGGTGGGAAGGAGAAAAATAAGAGTACAAAATTTATATTTTCAATCTATGTTGCACAGGTGGAAGCACTTACTGTTCCAATCGTCATGGACAACAAGATAGATCCCGTAACTCGTAAATGTGCTGCCATGGTTTATATGGAATCCCTACCAGCTCTCCCTTCATTGATGGCAATGACTAATTATGCATCAGAGACACCCATGTCAGAAGTGAAATATTTCCTGTTGACTCTTATACGTGAAGCGGCCACTTGCAGAGCTCCTGACTGCCAAGAGATGTAAGCATAATTTTTTAAAAAATGATTTCTTTATGAAAGGAGCAGTGCACAGCAAACAGCAGTAGTAAATGTGAACATTGTTGGTTAATTTGCTTTATTCAGGGCTTCTGCCTGCAGAGTGGCACTTAAAGTACTGAGCATCAAGATTCAGCGGCCTAGCTATCGCCACAGCATGGTTTACTTCTTTGGTCTTCACAGTGGTAAGAGACATGTGTTTTTCCCCCAGATACTATTTATTCCTCCCAGAATAATAGTGATTGCTTAAAATATTAAAAAGATGAACCTGTTGTTTCAAGAGTAAAAGCTGTTTGTTTCAAGAACCAGAAAGAAATCAGCCATGTCTTGTCATGTGACTAGCTCAAAAAGCACAGGGAAAGACCTGGGGAGGAAAGTATGCATTGGGCAGGGCGGTGCGCAGTCTGCAAAACCAAAATGTTCTCTCATCCCTAAACTAGAACCTATAAGCATTTTGATTCATATTTTAAGGAAGGGGAGGAATGGTACATTGGCTTTTTATGCCACAAACCTATGTTATACAGTGGTACCTCGGTTTTCAAACGTCTCCATTGATGAACATTTCAGTTTTCGAACACCGTAAACCCGGAAGTAAATGCATAGGTTTTTGAACACGCCTCGGAAGTCGAACATGAAACGCGACTTCTGTATTGATTTTTCTGTATTGAGTTTTCGGTTTTGAGTTTTTGGTTTTCGAACGTTTCGGAACTCGGACAGTCTTCCGGAATGGATTACATTCGAAAGCCAAGGTACCAGTGTATTTTTTTTTACTTCATCCTCCTATTAATAATGTAATACCAATGATACATTTACTGGTTGTTTGGAGTGGGAACAAGAAAACACACCTTGTGTATTCTAGGCCAAATGTCATGTTATTTTCAGGCAAGTCAAAGTTTTACATTATATGATTTAAGTGGCTCCATTCTTAAAGAACCATGAAAATCCTAGAGATTTTCTGCATATCCCTTGGGAAATATTTTTACAACAACCACCCTACAAACAAACTCAATACCGTACATAACTTAATAAAAATAATATAGGCTCATTTAATAGTTGTGTAACTTATTAGTACACTTGAAAAGCTGATGACAAATATTTCATGAAAATTTCAGAAAATGCGAAGTTAGATTTTTGCACAGTGCCTTAGGTTACTGCTGTGCCTCGTGACTTTTACATGACCATGAAATCAGTTTCATAATAAAAATAAGTACCATGAACATGACTAGGATATACAGACCTACTACTTCACAGAGGTATGTAGGGAGCTCTTGAAGAGATAAAATAATTTCATGGTATATGAAATTTTCTTCCCTCCAAAGCATCATTATTGTCATATACTATTTTAAAAGTTAAAGGAATGAGATTTATCTCCTTAGTCCTTGCTCAGTTTTTTTCATGCACTATAAATTTAAGTAGAGCGCTTAAAGTGGCATAAACTGCTGGTAACTGTTGATGACCATATTTGGATATTAGCTAAATTGATATCATAGCACGAAAAATCTATTAGAAATTACTAATATTCTATTATTAGTATCTCCAGAGCAGGAGTAGCCAATGTTGCATCCTCCAGATGCCACTGGACCACAACTCCCATCAGTCACATATAACATACTGAAAATGATAAGAAACCAAAAGACATTTGCCACCTTTGCTAACAGTTTCATAGAGGTGGCATGGTGTCCTGTTAAAGACAGATGTTAAGATACAGATTGCTGCGACAAATTACTTTTAGGAAGCTTAACATGTCTAGCAATACATGTTGAAACGCCAAAGCAAATGGCACTCCTTTTTCAGTAACAGTTAATTATCAAGTAAGCTCCAGCGAGGGTGAAATGCTATATAAAATATATTCTTTCCCTTTCATCGCATCCCAGCACTGTTTTGTGACAGCCTACATAGAGAACAAGTAGTTCAGCAACAGAATGGCTTGCATTTCACTTTTGCATTCAAGCTAGCATAGCTGAGGGGGATATATTGAAACTCCCTGCTTGATGTCATGCAGTCATATAGAGGAGGGAAATAAATCACACACACAAAAAGTCACATTGGGCATTATAAGAGAAGGGTGGAGAGCATGGGTCTACCATTTTGACAGCCCTATGTCTGTCATAACATCTTTCTTGTGTGTCTATTCCCACTACAAAAAGAGTCACTTTTCTGTGTTTCTTTAGACGAGGCATAAGCAACATAGCTTCCTCCAGATATTGTTGGCCAATGAGGTGTGGACATTGCAGGGGGTGGGACTAGATGACCCTTGGGGTCTCTTCCAACTCGATCTACAATTCCATGAAACATCTAGAATCTGCCCATTGATTTAAACCAGGGATGGGGATATTTCCCAGTCATGATAACATTTTTTTTAAAAAACCAACTGGAAATAACAGAGAATCGGTGACCTTCCATATGCATAGGAAGTGCTCTCCTCCAACATGTTCTATAAAGTCTTGCTCCCTCTCCCCCTTCCAGAAGAACTGGTCAAATGTAGAGAGAGTGCCAAGCCCAAATCACAGTACACAGACACAGTAGCCTATTTTTGTTATGCAGCTGGTCTTGTACATGGAGTTTCTTCACTTTTTCATAAGATGCTGTTTTCACATTAAACAATTAGGAAATTAAATTCGTATTATTATGCAGTTTGAAGAACCGACTGGCCTTATTGCTTGTTGTTTTATCTCCCTTTTCAGAACGACTTATGGCTGGTTTGAGAGCTGAGGTTGTCAGCATAGGCAAAGAAGGAAATATCCTCCCATTGTTTACCATGTTCAAAACCAGGGCGAACATCCTTGGCGTCTCCTCTGATCTTGTAGAGGTAACAGATGCTGTCCATTATAAATTCCATTAGGCCTGTACTGTTAGACCTTGAATTTATTTTCTTACAAAATTCATTTGAGTCTGGCTTGTTTCTATAGCATGAGCATTCCATACACTAAGCTTTGATAAGAAGGGGGCAGATCATCCTTACATGATGTCTCCACCCCCATCATTCAGCCCGGATGCTGAGGTCCAGCTCCAAGGGCCTTCTGGCGGTTCCCTCACTGCGAGAAGTGAGGTTACAGGAAACCAGGCAGAGGGTCTTCTTGGTAGTGGCACCTGCCCTGTGGAATGCCCTCCCATCAGATGTCAAGGCAATAAGCAACTATCTTACTTTTAAAAGACATCTGAGGGCAGCCCTGTTTAGGGAAGTTTTTAATGTTTAATGCTGCATTGTGTTTTTAATATTCAGTGAGGAGCCGCCCAGAGTGGCTGGGGTATAAATAATAAATTATTATTATTATTGTTGTTGTTGTTGTTGTTGTTGTTGTTGTTGTTGTTAACAAATTACAACTTTTGCCTATAATGGTTTAAGTTAACTCATGCTCAACCAGCCTTCATAAATGTATTAAATGCAAGTGACTGAAACATAGTTCTTAATTGTTTAAAATATTCTGAAACTGCTCTGATTTATGTAAAGCATAGAAAGCCCTTTTAACTGTTTCATACACCCCCTTTCAACACAGGTCGGCGTTAAGAGTATAGGACTATCTCGCCTTTTTGAAAGGGCATATGCAGAAGGAAGGCTCCATGACTTGGTAAGTGGGCGGCATAATAAACCTCATAATGTGTTATTCCTACAAATGCTATGTCTGTTTAAGGCCCAAAATCATTTAGGCACATGATACCTGCCATACCAGCATGCCCAGTCCATAAAATTTGATAGAGATGCTCTTCTCTGTGTCCCATTGGTACCCATATCCAAGCAAGGCATGGCTGGTTGGGATGTGCTAGATGCTTGGGAAGTGCTTACCTTTTCTGAATCTATTTATTGATTCATTTATTGGATTTATACACCGCCCTTCGGAAAAGAGCTCAGGGCAGTTCACAATACAAAAATAGAAGAGAAAAGCACAAATAAAGAGTTAAAACAGAAACAACAAAGCAATAATTCACCCCCAAACACATTTTAAAGGCTGCAGAATGTTAATTGGCCAAAGGCCCTGGTTGAATTTTCCTCAAATCGTGAGATTCCCTAACTCAGGGTGTGCCTCTCATTCCTTTTCACAGCCTAGCTTATTTATTTGTTTCATTCAAGAAGACATTTGACCTGCCAGAATGAGGATTCTTTTGTAGCTGATTCCCCCTCCCCAATCATTTTGGTTTCACTTTCAATTTAATTCTGTTGTTGTTGGTTGTTTAATCGCCATTAGATTTCCCTGTTGTTTTGTTTGAGTGTTTTAAGCCACCCTGAACATTGCAAACGCATGTGTTGCAAAAAAAGGTACACCATCATTTCTTAAAATAATAAACAAACAAAACAATAAAAATTTCAGTACGTTTCTATTTCTTATCACACAGCCCTTCGATCAGAAAAAAGGAGGACACGACCCAACTTTTGGAGGACTATATCTCAAATTAGCGCGCCAAGAAATCGCGTATTTGGAGCTCACTCCTGATGTGATCCTGGATGCATTGCAGGTGCCTCTTTTGACATGCATGTTGTTTAGATATAAATTATATTTTCTTCTTCTTCTTCTTCTTCTTTAGGCTCTTGAACGTGATTGCTTTCAGGATTCGATTGGGTGCAATTATAACTTTTCAGCATTAGTTACTATTGCACTGGCAACCTCTTTTTCCTATGAAAGGAACAGTGACATGAAGCATGTGATATTCTCGTTCTCTTTGTTTAATCAGCGCAAACTTTCTTTGCAGATATTCCATGGCAAAATGCCTCTCCCCTGGATAAAGGATTCTGCAGATGGCCTTAAAAATCATCCAAACATGCAGTGGGAGAACAATTTCGTATCTGCAGAAATCTACGGTGTTGTGCCTACATGCACTGGACTTCCACTTCAAATAAACTTGGTTCATTTTACTCACACATCCGTCAATGGAAACGGTAAGGCAATAGAAATTTATCAACTACCAAGCACAGTGACTAACTAGGGTGGTATCTACACACGTATAAAAAATGCCACGAAAATGCTTTTTTAAAAAAAGTTTTGAAAAATACGTTAAATTTGCCATAGCTCACTGTCGCCATCTAGAGGCACTTTTGTATATTACTCTTTACAACACACTTAAAACGTTTCATTTGCAGCTGTATAGCTGACTCCCTAGGACTCCCGGTCTTGGGTTTTACCATGAGAATGGTAGCACCTCATTAAAGTGGTATAGGAAAAATATATAAGGACAAAAAAACGTAACATGAGGTATCCCTACGAATGTGTTCCTGAGCACATTGAGTTGGAAATGACTGAGTTTCAAATATATTTAGGATAAAACATGCTGGGGGGGGGGATTAAATAAGCATTCCAGGGTTTCAGTTTTCTCCCATTATTAACTGTGAGACAAATAGCAGTACTCAGGGCAAATTTATCCCTTTATCAAAATAATATCAAAATAGAAACAAAATAATTGCAATTTTATATATCACATTTTACATAATAATTATTTTATAGCATGCATTTGTTTTATTTGCTTGCTTTTAAACAGTTCAATTATCCATGAGTCCCGAGCCGACATCACATTTGAGTTTGCCTGACTTGCTTAACATCGATATGAAACTGAAAACCAGATTGTCTGTCAGGTAAATAGACTCATTGATACATAAAATGACAAGATGCCATTCAAGTGGTACAAATGTGCCCTCAGTATTCATGAACTCTTTAACGTATAGTAGCCATAACATCACTATAATGGGCTTGTTTGGTTTTTTTCCCATTTTTAGCATGAACAAAGATATGCTCGTGACGATGGGAATCGTTGTCCCTGAATTCCAGGCTATAATACAAGAGAATGTCAAAATCGTCACCAATATCCCTGTGAACGTTGATGTCTCTATGAACATTAAGGAAAAGACCTTCAAACTTGAACTTCCACCATGCAGAGAGGAAACTGAACTCATGTCTTTCAGGTAGGCCTAGCGAAAATTGGTAGAACACCCCTCCCCCCCTTCTCCTGCAATACATTTTATAGTTAGTACTTGATCTCTGGAGTTAATTATTTTATATTATCTAGTGCAATGGACTTATTTCAAAGTTAAACACTCCAATCAAATTTATGGAGGTGTCAAGTTGAGATTGACAGAGTTGAAAGAGAGTGCTTTAAATTAAAAAATCAGCTTTAAATGCTTGAAGATCACAAAATATGTTTAAAATGTTTGACATAAGCTTTTTCATAGATAATTAGATTGCACAGAATAATCCTATAATTGGATTTTTGAAACCGTACTGTAAGGTTTATATACTATACAATTTCCCCCTCATCTCTAACGACATTATTAATTGTTGCTTTAACATGTAAATATACTGGGGCTTTCTTTTACAGTCAATACAACAGTGTTGCAAGGTAAATCAATATTGGTATCTGTTGTCTGTTTATCTGGGTGACAAACTTCCCATTAGAATTCATAATGGCCTTTGGCATTAAAAAAAAAACCCACAAAAACCACAAAAATCTGAGTACTAGTAAAGTTAAAGCGAATGGCATAAACTGTGTAAACAGAAAGTATTTCAAAACCTTACCAAGCAACATATTTTTGCATTATTTGGTGAGCCAACAAATGAATAAACTTAAAATTACAGTTTTCTACATAACATCAAGAGGAAGAATGAGCATATAAAACTTGTGGAAAACCTAAATCTGAAGATTAAAGCAGAAATGTTGGAAAGCTGCTATAGAATGCATTGTCCAAAATATAGCCTACATTTCAGTGACAAGTTGTTGAAAAATATACATAATACTACCTGCATTCCAGTTTTTAAAATACTTATGAGCAAGGCCAATAAAAATAGCTTCACATATGTAAATTATTTGCATGGCTGATCACAAATGTGATTGATTATGCATTCTTAGAGGATTAATTGTTTTTCTTTTTTCTTTTTGGTGAAAGCTGGGAAAAGATTTATTTTTTTCTTTTTCTTTGGTGCTACATTGTATAGAATGGCACAAATAAAAATCGTTAAGAAGGACACTTCCATTTTGAAGGGCATTATTCTTTTTTCTTGTCCTCACAGTCCTTGTACTTTCTACTTATCCTCACATGCTGGTACATGTACCTTCTACCTAATTTTTTTCCCCTGTCAAACCTTCCTACTTGCTCCAGTATTACCCAATATTCCCCAATCCCTCCGTACAATTTTGCATGTTGGCCTATGGAATTTGTATGGATGCATAAGTCTGGCAGAATCGGTTAGAAGACTGGCCCCTTTAGCCTTGATTGCTCAGTAGTTAATTAAGAAGCGGTGCAAGTATCCTAACACAAGGAATGAGTGGAAGATGTTTAGTATCACATCATTTGATCACTCTGATCTGATGGTGGGAGTGGCCATTGCTTGAAAAAAGCGGGCGTTAAGATGTTCTCATGGCATTTGATCTCTGATTGCTCTTCTCAGTCAAGAACCTCATTTGCTGATGTTGCAGTCATTGAACAGTGACCAGATATTTACGAGTATGGAGCCTTCTCTCCAGTCACATGATTTGTTGTGGCTCTCTGTACTTACCAGGGACCTGTTTGGAACCTTTAGGAAGTTCCTTGTAACTTTCCTCCACCCATTCTTATTAAAGTGCTAGAGCTGGATCAGGCAGCTGATTTCTGCAGAAAACAATATGTGACACCTCTGTTGCCACTAAATTTATTGGCTCCCTCTTATATTCAGTGGGGAAGAACTGATCATTCAGTTCAGTGGCAAATGTAAACTACTGGGTTAAAAAAAAAATAACAGTACTGAGAGAAAGATTAGGGTGGGGGAGTGATGCCACTATTTCTGCCTGGAGATACAAACTGTAGTTTGGTGACGGTTTAAATTGTTAAATGTGAATCAAGTGAAAGCCACTTCCTTTTAATCTATTCTGCCCAGATGAGCCATTTTAAAATGCAAGTTGATTTGTAATTTCTTTCATCCCCTCAGCTTGTCTGTGAGAATATTTTTTGTCCCTTTCCTTAATAAAAGAAATAAAAAATTCCTGAAGGTTCTAGCTAAGCTTGGTGTGGGGTGCAGCTGTCATGCCCTTTATCTGAAACAGAAAACTTGAACAGAAAACAAAGCCTGTGGGTGATAAGGTGTCATTTATTTATTTTGACTTGACTGAAGTGCTCCATGTGAAGCGCAGCTTGCATGTTCTCTACAGTACCTTCAGCACTGCAGGCACCGACAAGAGGAAGAGAGAGAAAGATAAAAGGAATGCAAATCCGCCTTTCAAATAAAGTAGATTAGGTGTTCTTAGGCTTCCCTCACAGAGTGTGAAGCCCATTATTCTCAACATGGGAACACCGACCACCTCTCAGTTCACAGCCAGGCAGGTCACTTCCACCCATCTGTGTTCGCAAAACAACCCCCAGGCGACAATATCAGTTGCTTCCGTGAAATACTAACAATGGAACGTGTGTGTGTGTTGTTGTTTTTAATGCATTTTGAAGCCATGTAGTTAGAAATGTAATGCCTACATCATAAATATGATTGGACTACCAGCAGCTTAGAGAAAATAGTTTGTTAAAATGCTGTTGAGTAGATATACTGCTAGTGTTTTACAGCACACGATGCAATCTTCATGCCCACCTCCCTTGGAATCAAAGTCACTGGATTTAGTAAGACTTGCTTCTGAGTTAATCTGTGGGATGTGGAAAAGCAGTAGTTTGCTTGGAAGCAAATTGCTCATGTCAGCTGACTGACTCAAAGGAATGATAATGTAGTATCACCTGATCACATTCATAGCAATAGTTTTTATTTTATTTTATGTGACTAATAAGCCAGTGAGTTAGGCTAAGCTAATCCAGTGAACATCACACTGCAGACTGAAGGCTCAGCCTATCCACTATGGTAAAATATCCTAGCTATATTTCTATGCACCAGAAATAACAACGTAATGTTTTTGCTATTGAGATTTGTGGCTTTAACTGATTGATAGATTGATCAATTAAGATTTTCTCCCCTGAATGGTTTCCTTTGTTTTGGGTTTTTTTTTTTTGTCCACTGTACTAAATGACACACCAGCTTGGGGGCAGGATGGAACATGCCCCACAACCCCTTTCACCGTGCTTGCTCATTGCACACAAGTAACCCATGACAAGGGATATGTTTTTAACAGAGATCCTATGACATAGGAAATACCTTTGTGTCTAATTGCCCCATGGAAAACATATCATTGTACCAGAGCTTTTGATTTCCTTATATTTTGAAGTGTGTCCTTTCTGCGGCAGTGTCCCAGACAGAACAGAAACCCATCACTTTAGCAGCTAGGATATTGATTAAATCCCAATGCTGGGATTGAAACTATGTCAGTGGCTTGTGCATTGTTTGTTTGTTATGTTTTTAACTTTAGTAGAAAATTAGGAGCAGTGAGCATGAAATACTGCCTTTAAGTTGAAGTCTGAAAATGGCCACCCAAAATAGATGACACTAACTTGGTTTTGTTTTAAAATATGACTAGTCATGGCTGCCTCGTCATTTTTGCCTAGTCAAAATTGTACCTAGGCATTTGGGTGGCCTAGGTACAATTTATAGAGCAATTTGCAAGGAATTCCATGTGTGATCAAGTCCATACTGCAACCCAGATCTTTTTTAACATATTTCTGCTTCTAACACAGCATTTCTCCCTCTGTTTATCCACCAGTGCTATGACATCTGTTATCACTCGCAACCTTGAAGAGGCACCTGCTACCAAGTCAACTCCACTTTTCGTCCCTCAAACTGTGTCTAAAATAATAAGAGGCTCCTTTGAGTCAGCAGAACAACGGAATGAAAGAAGGGTAACCCATATTAGATTTTTGTGTGCGCTTTTTTTGCTTGAGGATTGTTTCTTTTACATAGAAAAGAAGTTGTGCGAGCTATTTTTAATCTGCCCCCCCCCCCATAAAACATTTACAGTTCAGTCCTATACACATATACTGAGAAGTAAGTCACATTGCGGTCAATGAGACCTACTCCCAGGAAAGTGTAAAAACTGACCTACTGGTACAAATATAAATTTAGCAGTCATAAAAGCACTATAGCTACCATAAAGCATTTATTTGTTATTCATGAAAGACAAATTCCCATTACAATCAGAACTTTAATCATGTATTTTATTTCAGGATTCTGGGGGGATTTAAAACTGGGGTGTAATAGGTAGAAAATAGGTATCTTATTGTGTCAATGAAGAACATAATTGCAGTTCTCAATGTCAAGTAAATAAGTAGTGGCCTTGATTTAAATAAACTTAGCTATGAATAAATCCTACTATGCATGACAGCTCTGGGATGTAGTTTTAATGGTGTAGTGGATGTAACTTACACTCTTGAAGCAGGATGCAAATTGATGCAACTAAAGATGTTAAGTCCTGAAAGGCTGAGAACAAAACCCTAACATAAATTAGAGCAGACGTATTGAAATCAGTGGACTTACATTACTTCGCACTGGAAATCATCCTGTATCCCCCCCCCCCCCATTAAATATTAGGGCTTCCCTTAACCATTGGTCGAGATGCCGCATTTTATATATGCAGTGTTCCAACTGAATTACTGATCTTTCCCAAAATAATAATGATGATGATGAGGCAGAAGTCTGAGATTGCAATCTCTCATGCTGGACTATGTTCATCATCCATCCAGGACCAAATTTCTGCAGAACAGTCAGAACATTACAGGCCTGCCCCTCGTCACACTGAGTGTGTTGAAGCATGCACATTTGGATGCAGGGCTTGCGTTGAATGGTCAAACATTTATGCTGGGTGCTCCATAGATGACTCTCTGTACAACTTGGCTGGCGAACATAATTTTAGAGTAACACTCAAGCAAGGTAACTCTTCTTTATTCTATGATGTTTGTTGGGGTGTGTTTGGTTTTTTTACAAAATGCAGAGGGGTTCAGGGAAAAGAACAGGAGCAATATTTCCCTGGACAATTGGCAGTCCTTCTGGACAGTGTGGGTTGTGTCATATGGGACTGGTGGTGGTGGAGAGGAGCTCACAAAAGGCTGTGGTCATGCTGTAGTTCAGTGTCATCTGTCGGCAAATGGCACTGTGAACCACAGTGGATGAAAGCCTAGGAAAATATACAGGAGGAGATGTGCACACAGAGACATACCATAAAGACTTGTGCTTGGTTAGAACAGACTCATTGAAATCATCTTAATGACAAAGATATTATTATTATTATTATTATTATTTATTTATTTATTTATTTATACCCCGCCCATCTTGAACAGGTGACAAAACAATCTGAGGTTTAAAGTTTTACTACCATAGTTCTCAAGCTGGTCTTTCACTAGGCCTACCAGTGAAGCCACAGATTATGCATGGTGGTCACATAACACATTCATATGCCATACAAATCAATGGACCCAACTGGTGGCTGCATGTATCAAAAGCGCCCATTGACTATGTTTCAGAAACCATGATTTATTGCCTAGATAAACCATGCAGTAACACTAATACTAACTCTATAATTTCAGCTGAGAGAAGAGCACCCATTGAGAAGTTACGATTGACTGTTCAAGGAGGCGCTCATTCTAGTTTACCAATGGTGCGTTTGACGAGAGATGAAAAAAGACATTTAAGAAGAATTCAGGTATTTCTGATAGCAATACATATCACCATGTGGGAGAGGCTACTATCCATATGTTTTATATTCTACAACTTGTTCTAGCTTTCGGACAGCGTGTACAGTATTACATTTAAGGCGTTAAACTCAAGGGTGGGGAACCTTTGACCTTCCAGATGTTGCCGGAGTCCCATCAATCTCAGCTAGCATGGCCAGTCGCCAAGGGTGTTAGGATTTTGAGTCCAACATAGGGCTGCCATACATCTGGAATTTCCTGGACATACCCAGGATTTGTTTGCCAAAAATAGCGTCCACGCAGAATTTCCATAAATCAGTTAAAATAAAAATTGCTCAAAAATAGCTCAATTTTTTAAAATTTCAGTTTTATTATGCAAAAGCAAAGCTCAACAACTTTTGTGTCTGGATTTTCTCTTATTGAAGTATGGCAATCCTAGTCCAACAGCATCCAATATCGTGAACTAAGGAAGCAATTAGTTGAAGACTGATCTTGATTGTATATGTGACCTATGCATTTGTGTAAAACGTTTTCTTGTGCCCCACAGAGGTCCCTTTGGTGCTGCAACAATGTAGGAGGCAGCAGTTACAAGCTCTCTTTGCATCCACAGCAGGCGCATTGATTTTTGCCCCCAGAACCACACTCCATTGTCTCTTGAGACAGATGGGTGCCAACAATTTTGTGCAAATGAGAATCTGCAAATTAGCTTTCCCCCTCTGGCCAGACAAGAAGTACCTTGTTTGCGAAATGTTCTTTTCAAGCTTAGGAAACTTAATATGACTGTGTTTGTTTTTCTCTGGGTACTTCCCCTATTAGCCCATCAGCAGCTCCAGCGAAAGCGATAGCGATAGCTCTAGTGATAGCTCTGACAGCTCAAGCAATGATTGGGATGACCGTGATGACGATGAAATGATAGATATGAAGCAGCAAGAACGTTATCAGAAGCACCCCAGGAAGACTTCTTTGAAGAGCAGCAGCAGCAGTGATGACAGCAGCAGCAGCGACAGCAGCAGCAGAAGCAGTGACAGCAGTAGCAGCAGCAGCGATAGCAGCAGCAGCAGCAGCGATAGCAGCAGCAGCGATAGCAGCAGCAGCAGCGATAGCAGCAGCAGCAGTGACAGCAGCAGTGACAGCAGTGACAGCAGCAGTAGCAGCAGCAGTGGCAGCAGCAGCAGCAGCAGTGACAGCAGCGACAGCAGCAGTAGTAGCAGCGACAGCAGCGACAGCAGCAGCAGCAGCAGCGACAGCAGCAGCGACAGCGACAGCAGCAACAGCAGGAGCAGCAGTGACAGCAGTGACAGCAGCAGCAGCAGCAGTGACAGCAGGAGCAACAAGAAACAATCCAAGGGACGCCCAAGCAAACAGAAGCATGTTAAGGACAGCCACATTGGCAGCAGCAAGAGACCTTCAGTAAGTGCTTTCTATGAAACAACTGCCAAATTGTTCCTCCATTTACCAGAGTGCATTTGATTTACCTTTTCCTTCTTCTTCTTCTTCTTCTTCTTCTTCTTCTTCTTCTTCTTCTTCTTCTTCTTCTTCTTCTTGGCATTTAGAAGGACTTGCGAGGTCTGGAACTGGCTAACGCGAAATACATGGCACACAAGGCAAAGCAGCAGGTGAAGCAGCAGGTAGTTTTGATATTCTTGATTCTTTAAAATGGACTTCCTCTCTGAGAAAGACGACAGAAATCCATGTCACGCGGGTCAACCTTCTTTGGGGCAAACTCACCCAAATAAAAGGCAGTCCACCAGTGAGACTTTTTCTGCACCATTTTAAACGGTGCCTAGGAATATAGCCTGCATGACTTTGCAACATCGGATGCTGCAAATAGAGTTGGCTTTGTAACTCTTTAGTTACAAAGCATCTGTGGCTACTGTCTGTAAAGAGGTTGTGAGCCATCCATGTGTCTGAAAAGCACTTGGGACTTTGGAGACAGAAAAAAAAAATCTGCCTTATAGTGTGAGTGACACGTCCTATATATCACAATGTCATCTCCTTCTCATGCTGTTTATTTCTCTTTCCATTTTATTATTATTATTATGGGGTGAAAATCAGCAAGCATCAAGCAGTTCATCATCAAGCAGTTCATCATCATCCTCTGAATCCAGTAGCAGCTCTAGCAGTGACTCCAGAAACACCAGAAGCAGCAGCAGAGATAGAAAGCAGAAAGGCGGAAGGAGCAGCTTCTCGCGGGAGGTAAGTTTATAAAAGCGAATAAGAAGTCATTGCTTCATTCCTTAGCTTAGGTCCAGGTTTCAGTCAGGTAATTAATTTACAGGAAGTGGCTAGCAGAGTTGTCAGTTTTTCTCCCTACTTTTATTTATTTCCTAAGTGCTTCTTTAAACTGCGATCTGAAGGCAGCCCTGTAATGGGAAGTTTTAAATGTTTGATAATTTAGTGTGCTTTATAGACAGTCGTACCTTGGTTTTCGAACAGCCTAGTTTTCGAACGTTTTGGCTCCTGAACGATCGAAACCCGGAAGTGACTGTTCCAGTTTTCGGACGTTCTTATAGAAGCCAAATATCCGACATGGCTTCTGCAGCTTCTGATTGGCTGCAGGAGTTTCCTGCAGCCAATCAGAAGCCGCTCTTTGGTTTTTGAACATTTTGGAAGTCGAACAGACTTCCGGAATGGATTACGTTCAACTTCCAATGACTGTATGCTGTAAGCCACCCAGAGTGGCTGAGGAAACCCAGCCAGATGAGTGGGATATAAATAATTAAAGTTATTATAGTTGTTATTATTATTATTATTATTATTATTATTATTATTATTAAATACAAGAGGAAAGCATTTTCAAAACAGCTACAATTCTTGTTCACGTGTCTGTCCTAGTCACAGTGGAGGCTAGAATCTGCGATTAAACAAATGAATGTGGTTTCACTTGCCTTATGCTTTGGGTGACATCTGTAATATTGTTGCCATTTTTAATGCGGTGTGTGTGTAATCTTTATAAAATGTTTCAAGATTTCTCTTCTAATAGTAAGTGGTATAAAAATATTACTGAATAATTAAGAAAATGTTACTCTTCCCCTTCTATCTCTGGTTCACCCTTTCAATAGCACTTTCAGAAGTACAAATCAAATCAACCGGGAGAAAGCTGGGTGGCAGAGCATAAGGAAATGGAAGCAGAGTTCAGTTCCCCCTCCCCACACACCCTTTTTAGTGTTAAAAGTGGACACACCCTCCCATTTTATAAATGAATGGGGCAGGCAAATAATTACACCTCTAGATAGACATCTGATTTTGCTCTTAGACAGCATGAAGTACATAAGGTGTCAACCACAGACTTCCTGCTACAGTTCCCGAAGTTTCCTGTAAAGAGATTTGATTGTTAAACCATGCTGGAAATTGTAGCTCAGCGAAGGGATTAGGGGCCTCCCAACATCTCTTAGCACCCTTAGCAAAGTACAGTTTCCAATAGCCTTTGGGGAAAGCCAGGACTGTTCAAAGTGGTATCACAGAGCTTGAAATTTATGGTGTGAATGTGACTCTAGTTGAAGGCAACTGATCATCATAGGCATTAAAATGGTGCCCTTTCATTTTTCTGTCTTTCAGGACCAGTACCAGGACCAGGTCCATGGCGATTCACTACGACCTTACGTTACCATTGTGGCTGAGGCAGTTAGGAGTGATAAGAAAGAACAGGGCTACAAATTTTCAATGTACCTGAAGCATGACCGCTACAAAGCCCAGATGAAAATAGTTGGAAGTGAGCTTGCCAGAACCAAGTGGAGAGCATGTCTTGATAGTGTTGTGCAACCTTACACACTCCAGGTAAAAAAACAAAACATTTTTTAAAAATGTGCTTTCATTTATTTTTGTGGTTTGTAAGACAATTTTCAGCAATGCTTCTCTGAAGCTACATGTGATAAACTACTGAAATACAATAAAACAAATTTTCACTAATAATAAACATCGAATAGATTAAGAACCGAGGCAGAGCAGTTCTTATTTTTAAAGATAATAAAAAGCATTGTCCCACACTAGCTAGGGGGCACAGATTATTACAGGCAGAAGATCTGCTTAAAGTTGAAAGTTCACTAAACTTCAGAAATCAAAAAGCATCTCCTAGAATGTAGAGGGAGAAGTTGCCACATATTGGTGCAATAACTTGAAAAGAGAAGTGTTCCACACAAGCACAAACCATACCTATGCCAATCTCAACATGCAGGTTTGTGAGGGGCGAGATAGTTCTTTAAATATCCCTTACCAAGATCGTTTAGGTTGGCCAATTGCTTGCTTATGAACTGCCAACTCATAAGAAAAAATTAACGGTGGTCTACAAAACAGTTACTAAAGCACTCATTGGGTTCTGTGATAATAAAACACAGAGCAAATGGCCAGTCCCAAATACTCTCATTGATAGAACAAAAATATTTTCAGCATATAAAACAGGGGCATTCCCGCCCCCCATGCAATGAGGATGCCATTGTGATAGGATCCAAATGGGTCATTGGCTTTTCATCCCCATGGTATTAAATAACTTTTTTTTTTATTTCCTACCTAAGAATGAACTGAGCTGGGGTGACAACTGCAAAGATTACAACATTCGAGTAAAGGCTTCCAGTGGGCTGGTTGCAGAACGGGACGCATTCGAAATTGAGATGAAATGGACAAAGGTTCCACGCTATCTAGAGAAATGTGCTGCTTGGTATAGCATCTACCTCATTTCTTATTAATTACTAATTGTCGCACATATTGGGGGGGGGTTAATTTTAAAAAATCTGACTAAATCCTGTTTTGATTTCATCAAGGGTTATGGATCTCATTCCTGGTATTGCATACATGAAATACTTCACAGCGGTTTATCAGAAGAATCCTTCACGCCAGGTTCTGTTCAGAATAGTCCAGTCTTCTCCATGGACAACAGCTACAATCTTGAGAGTTCCCGGGGCATGTATTTGTTATCTCTTTTATTAAATATGGGTTATTAAATAAGTGTAGTTTGTCTTTGGGGAAGCAACTGGGTGGTCAGCAAGTATAGAGAATATATATTTTCAGGTTTAATTAAACCACATACAGTACCATCAAATTCGGGTGGTACACTTAAAGTGGGTGATTTTGCACAGCAGGCCCCCTACTCCCTAAAAGCAGAGTTTTTTTCAAAAAAGAAAGTGATGTGAAAGTGTGGAATAAGAATTGCTTGATTCAATGTCTTATACTGTATTGGCCCGAATATAAGCCACACCTTTAAAATTCAAGGGGGGGGGGAGGAAAAAAGACAATACTTGAATATAAGCCGCTCCCTTAAAATTCCACAGGCACTCACATCCGTTCCATTTTACCGTATGTCTGTTTCAGCAGCAATATCACTAAAAGCCCTTTTTTGTAAGGTTGCAAATTTAAGCCGCACTTTAACATTTCACAGTCGGAATTTGGAAAAAGAAGAAGTGAGGCTTATATTCAAGCCAATAGGGTAACTTGCCCCAAACAAATCAAAATGGTTGCTCAATCAACAGGCCCCTGGAAGCAATCTGTAGGTTGGATCCATATTCTGTTTGTGTCCTTTCCACAAACAGAAGGGATTCTTCTGTTTGAAGATTCAGTCAAGATCCAGGGAGGAAGGAGGGGGATATTTTCTTGGTGCAGCTGCCTATATTACTTTTCATGCTCCTCCCAATAGTCTCCAACCTGTGGAGAAGATTTTGAGGGGACACAGGGAACTTTAAGGGGAAGGAAGAATCGACAAAGATACCACCATCTCCACTTCCTCTAGTGAGAGTAGAACTGCTGAGTTTAAATCAGTATGCATCCCTATGGGTTTAGAAAATTTGGGGGAAAAGAAAGAAAGATATGTTTTAGTTTATGTAGTTAAGTGATCAATCAAAACACAAGCTTTGTCTACAGCCACATTGGTCCTTATACATTCATTCTTTGTTTTCTAGGAAACCTTTTACAGAGATGGCCTCTGTTTTCCATTTTCTTTACCCGCTTTCGAAACTCCATATTATCAATCTTCAGCAAAAAGGGCATATGATTTATTTGAATTAATGTCATGGGCACCCAAAGGAGGTGAAGGTAAATTAATACTTTACTTACATCAGGCAAGTCTTTAAATTTAAAGCATTGCCTGCTCTTAGCTTGTAACAGGACCATTTTGCAAGCATATTGTTTCTAACTTTAAGCCTTCTGTTTAGCAATTATATATTGTAAATGGATTTAGTGATTTTACACGGCTCATTTGATATGTTTTTTAAATAATTATTATAAATTATGATGTTGTTCTTCTGTTTTGTAACCCACCTTGCAACCTTAAATACATTGAAATGAATAAATAGATAAATAATTGACAGCACAGTCCTATGAACGTAAACTCAGACATAAGTCCCAATAAGTGCAGTAAGACATACCCAGAAAGTGTATATAAATTACAACCACATTATCATCGATCAAACTGTCAGAAGGAGTTTTCTTGCTTGCTTATAGCCACAAAAAGGTCACTTATCCATGATCAGGGTGGGCAGCAGTTATGGCCTGGCGCAGTGCCCCAAGACCGGGGGGGGGCAGCCCTCTTCTCCAGTCTGGCTGCTGGTTTTGGCCTTGGGCAGCTGCAAGGAGTAATGGGATTGCCTGCCACAACTTTAAATTAAACTGGTCAATAGAGGCTGAAGGGGCAGATGGGGCCTAGGCAACGGACCAGAGTGAGCGAGTCTTTGTTCTGGTCCACCGCTGCTCTAGTTAAGCCACCTTGGACTTGGCAGCGCAGTCAGCAGAAGATCAGTCCTTGGTGTAGCTTCTGAAGAGTAGGTTGAGTCCAAGCATTACTCCATGCTCAGGCAGATACAATATCTCAGGGTATCCCAGTAAAGATGGCTGGATGGAAGCTTCTGTCCTAATGGCAGCCTGACGGGGGGCAGCTTAGTTGACCTACATCTTTTGTAAAAGTGGCAAAAGTCTGGCAAAAACTGAGATCTAGTCGAACTGAGAGGCTTTTTGGATCAAACAGGCTTCCCTGGTTATTCATCCGAACTGCAAGAGATGGAATCTAAGTCTAACAAGAAAATGTACTTCCAGACATCTGCCTAAACATTGCATATTTCTGGCTATCTTATGTTCACTGCTGCATCTGACTTCTTTTTTTGGGGGGGTGTCATCTTGCCAGCTGTATGTGAGGTGGACAACGAACGGATCATGACCTTTGATAACAAGGTATTCAATGTAACTACAACCAAACATGCCTGTGACCTTTTGGTAGTCCAAGACTGCAACAAAAATGAAAATTATGAACCACGGTTCCGTGTTTGGATATCAAAGTCCAGACCTGATAGTCCAGGAGAGGTTCACGTCAATATCTCTTCAGAGTAAGTTTTAACAAATACACAGCTTTTTCAGATAATAAAGGAAAAAATAAAGGTTTAACCTTTACAGTGGTACCTCAGGTTAAGAACTTAATTCGTTCTGGAGTTCCGTTCTTAACCTGAAACTGTTCTTAACCTGAGATACCACTTTAGCTAATGGGGCCTCACGCTGCTGCTGCGCTGCTTTCTGTTCTCATCCTGAAGCAAAGTTCTTACCCCGAGGTACTATTTCTGGGTCAGCGGAGTCTGTAACCTGAAGCATCTATAACCTGAAGCGTCTGTAACCCGAGGCACCACTGTATTTCCGTTTCCCCCCTTTAATGGGAACTGCATTAGAAATAATTGCAAACTGGGCCACAGGACCCAGACTGCAGAAATGTGCAGTTTTCTCAGATCTAAATGGAATCAGATCACAGTTATCCCATGCCATGCTGCTGATGCCTTGAGGGGTCTATAGCAACCAATATTGGGGGAAGAAATGCATTTGGTTTCAAATTTAATGTGAACCTACTTCCTTTCAAACCACAGCGAAGGCAGCATGAGGAGCCTCAGGGGGAATTGGTGCAGTTTTGCAGTGCACTCGTAAATGACAACTATGGGAGAAAGATGGGCTGCTTCACACTGATTGTTAATATCAGTTTTTTCACCTTCTAACAAAAAGCATTCTCCCCCCCCCCCCCAGGATCAGAAGCTATATCAGAATCTTACCTACCATGAATAAGCTTTCTTTGTTATACAATGAGAATCGAGTCCTGCTTGACAAAAAGGAGTTTGAGGATGAGAAAGGTACTGCATCTGATATTACACTTTTTCTTAAATCACAACACAGTTCCATTCACCTGAGTCAACTTAAATCCATGTACTCTGACTATTGGTTATATATTGGTAATCAATTTTATTTAAAAAAAAAAAAACCTTGAATAACTTGGGACACACCCACCCCGCATAATAATGAAAGAAAGTAAACATTGAAAATAAGTTAGTAAGCCTTGATCAGTAAAGGTGTGATGGGTTAGCTGAGTATCCTACCCATGAATTTGATTAAAATTTTTGTACACGGTAGTCAATACAAGCTGATGTCACAGAATCTCGCAGCAAAAATTGCTGTGTCTCTGGTCCCATTCTGTAGGCAAGACTCAAAAAGTAATGTAAAACGAATGAACAAAATGTGCGCATTTCTATGTACACTGCTGAAACATGCTCTTGCTCTTGAAATAATTGGTAAGCCATTTTAAACCATCCCATCTCTCCACAGCGCACGTTAAAATGTGTAAAAATGAGACCACTGTTGCTATTGAGGCACCACTGATAGGCCTAGTGAATGTGACGTACGATGGTGAAACTCTGATGGTAAGTCTGACAGCCGGCTGCTTTTTGTGCTAGGATTTCTTGCTCCATTCCTTTAATGCACTGCATTGTAAGGATACAAACACAAGCTTCTACAGTAAATATCCATTATCCATGCAGATTACAGTCGCTTCCAACATGAGAGGTAAAACCTGCGGACTCTGTGGAAACAATGACGGTGAAATGAGTAATGAAGCCCAGATGCCCAATCAAGAACAGGCATCAACCACTACAGAGCTTTTGCGTTCCTGGTCTTTGACGGATAGGTGTGATAGAGGTGATAGAGGTCAGTTAAATTTGGAAACTACATTCTCCATACAACTTCCCTAGGAAAAAAATGGCACAGCACTACATCACATCCCTCCCAGAGGCACTTGTAGCCGTGGATGGAATTGCCAGGCACTAGTCATGGTGGCAGCAACACCTTCTAGCCACTTAAACTGGTTTTTATCTGGAATTGGGGCAGTCTTTTAAGCTTTAAAGGCAGCCTTCAGAGCAGCCTGTAAAGTTGTAAGTAGCCTTCAACAAATATTAGGGGATGAAATTTTGGGTGAGAATGGAACAGAATAGACCTTGGTTTGTCCACATACAGAAGTGCCAAGGCTACCAGTCCATGCCTAATTCCCAACTACACAAAGTTGGGAGGGGACAATGACAATTGTGTTGTCACTGATCTGCTATGCATCTCTCAGCTTGAAAGTTCAGGACTCTCTACTTTCTACCATTACTAAGGCTGCAAATGTGTCTCTGTGAGCAGAATGCATGTCCGAAGCAGAGAGTCTTTTAAGACAGAGGTGGATTGCCATATACCCCCTTCAACTGGGATCACAGCTGTGCCTTTCATAAGGCAAAGCTGACTGCCACTGCAATGGAAGGAGGAAGGGAGAAGCGAGGCTTTGTACCATTAATGCAGACAGCTGGTGCGATTCTCTCCTTACTGAGTGGCCCTGTCCAGGGTTTACCTCCCTTCTCGTTCTTGAAGAGGCTGGTTAGTTCAAACATATGTGTGCCTCTAGAAAATGTAACTTGAGAAAAGAGACATTGCACATACTTTTGTAAACCAAGAAATCATCAATAAAAAATATGTAAAAACAAAAAACAAAAAATGTACGCGTGACATTCAAATCCACTACACCATTGGGTTATCTGCCCATTAGTATTTCACACTTCAGAGCTGGATGTAGTTGCTTGATTGACTGAACTGATCTTTAGCATGTTGCCTTAATAGGATAACCCACATATCCCTGCAGAAGTTTTCTTTACCAAAAATAGCATTATTATTTGATTTTAAAAAATTCTTTATAGCACTTGCCTCTTTCTTTGCTTCTTTCAGTTTGGATTTGCAACTGTATGTAAAAAACTGAAAGAATTACCAATTTTATGCTGTTTGTAGATGTGGAGACAAAAATTAGAATTGTATACAGCATTGTAAATATTCCATACCCATTCCAACAAATTATTTGACTGGGGGGTTTTGTTGTTGTTGTTAATTCAAGGTGGGAATGTCCACACTGCTAAAAAATATATCACTTGGACTCTGTTGATTGATGGTGATTTTCCTTTTTTGACAGAAATGGAAGCAACGTCTGACTCAGAGGCTTGGGCAGCTTAGCTCTGAGAAGACTCCAGACTGGGTGAACATTACCCTGACAACGTACTTCAGATCAACCTTTCGATATCTCAAATTAACTGAGTTATCTCGAGAACCACCTTGGGGATGCCAGTGCTACATCAAATGATAAATATATTAATTAATGTTAATTGGAACTAAACTAAAATCAAATGCATTCTGCATTGTATGAAGTTCTAAATAAAAAATCCATTGTGCATTAAATAAATATGTGTGATCATTTTGTTCCTTTTCCACAAAGCAATTGGGCTGAAAATATTTGAGAGAGAGAAAGAATCATTTATTGTTGGTTACTGTTCAGCTGTCACTAAAATAACCTCAACATCTTTCATAATAAAAACATGCTAACATAGTCTACTAGTTAACAGCTGACAAATTAACATGCCATACAGGCACAACACAGAATTTGGATTTCAGAAGGTTTATTTATTTATTATTAATGAGATTTATATACCACTTAATTATTCACATTGCTAGGTGGTGTACAGAAAAACAATCCACAGAAAATGGGACAACAAAGCCTTCAAAATTTATCCTAAAACCAAATATTACCTTCAAATGCCTGCTGGAACAAGGAAGTCCTAGCCATGCGCCCAAAGTTCAGCAAGTGGGAGGGAGTTTCACCAGCTTGGATCCAATACTCTGACTCCATGCCTTCTAGTACTTATGAGTTGTATGTCTGAGCCATGGGGGAACGCCAATAGACTCCTCAGAGATTGCGGTGATCAGACAGGTCCTTAAGATATTCTAGGCCCAAGTTGTTAAGGGCCTTGTAAATTAGCAGAAGAACCTTGAACGTAGCTTGGTAACATATGGGTAGCCAGTGAAAGCTTCTAAGGACTGGAGTTGTGTGCTGGCAGTAGTCTGTTCCACTCAACAGTCTAGCAACAGCATATTGCACCAGCTGGAGCTTCCAGGCCAGACACAAGAGTAGCCCCACACATTGCAGTCATCAGGTGTCAAGGTTACCGATACCTGAATCACCACAGCTAGCCTATTCCTGTCAGAGTTGGCCAGAGTTGGTAAAATGCACTCCCAGCTGCTGAGGCTACCTGAACGTCAACTGATAAAGATGGATCCAGGAGCAACCCCACCTGTTCTTTCAGTGGGATAATATATTTGCCAGGGCAGGGAGACGGTCAGCTTCCCAGACACTGGAATTACACCCCCATGGTGCCTCTGTCTTCTTGGGATTTAAGCTCAGTTTATCAGCCCTCATCCATTCCACAACTGCATCCAGACAAGGTTTCAGACTATGCTTAGCCTCACCTGACTCAGAGGTTATGGAGAAATGGAGCTGGTTATCATCAGCATACTGAACACCCTTCGCCCCCAAACTCCTCTACATGACTCTCAATGGCTTCATGTAGACGTCAAAGAACATTCACAATGGGATTGTTCCCTGAGGCACACTGCAGCACAAGGAACAGGGAGCCAAGAGACAATCCCCTAATGTTATTCTCTAGACACTGTAAAACTGTATCCCCAGTACCCAGCCTACAACGTCGGTCCAGGAGGATACCATGGTCATTGACACCAACAGACTGAGAAGGTGGTACCCTGTCCCACTCTTGTTACAGGTTATCCATCTTGGTGACCAAGGCTGATTCAGTCCCAAAACTGTACCTGAACCAAGAGTGAAACAAATCCAGATATCCTCTAAGGACTCCTGTGTCTATTCTGTCAGAGTTCAGCTCTGCCTAGTCTTAGAACCTGAGGTCTCCTTGGATAAGGATATGTCTCCGATTCACCCAAGATGTTTCAGTGATGCTTTCTTCTTCTTCTTTTTAATAATTTTTTTATTAGTTTCAATTCATTATACAACACCAAACATTAAGACAACAGAAAAGACAAAACAAAAAAAGGGGAAAAAAAACAAACAAAAAAAATTGCATAACATAAGCCACCAACAAATTAAACTTACAATAACCAAATAACTGACTCACACAAAAATAATTGACTTCCCTTCAACTCGGTTTCGGAATATGTTACAAAGGGTTTTCTATCTGCAGTTTCGTTTTCTTAAAACTCCTTACGTCGCTGGCGTTACATCAAACCTACTGTGATTTTTAAATTTTTTGCATCTGTTTCAATATATGTCATAAATTTGTTCCACTCATTATTAAACTTTGTACCTTTTTGGTTTCTTATTTTCTGTGTCATTTTTGCCAATTCTATATAATAAAATAATTTAGATTGCCACTCATTTATAGTTGGGATTTTTGATGTCTTCCAGTTTTGTGCAATTAGTGTTCTAGCAGCCACTGTTGCATATTGGAAAAGTGTTTGATCTTCCTTTTTAATTTCTTCTCCAATTATCCCTAGAAGGAAGGCCTTGGGTTTTTTTGTGAAGGTATGTTTAAATATATATTTTTTAATTCATTGTAAATTATTTCCCAAAACTTTCTAATTATTTCACAAGACCACCACATGTGGTAAAAATTGCCCTCCTTAATTCTACATTTCCAGCATAATTTGTCTCCGGTTTTGTACATTTTTTCTAATTTTACGGGCGTGATGTACCACCTGTACATCATTTTTTCCATGTTCTCTCTAAGTGTTGTACATGCCGAGAACCTCATACCTTCATTCCAAAGTTTCTTCCATTTATCAAACTCTATGTTGTATCCAAAGTCTATCACCCATTTCACCATTACTTCTTTTATTTCTTCATCTTTGGTGTCCCATTCAAGCAGTTGGCTGTACATTTATGATAGGAGTTTTGATTTATTTTCTAATATTTCTACCTGGAATCTGGATTTTTTTTCGTTCATCCCAATCTTTTTATCCTCAGTCCATAAAGCATTGATTTGATGAAATTGGATCCAGCCTGTCAGTTTATTCTTTATCTCTTCATATGGCCTAATCTTCCATCCATTTTCTGTTTTTGCAAGCAAATCTTCATAAGTCCGTCTTTCTCCTTCAATATTTATTTTTTTTATTGTTAGGATGTCAATTGGTGATAACCACCAGGGGGTGTTTCTTTCCAATAGTTTTTTGTTTCTCTCCCATACTTCCAGCAGTGGCCCTCTAATAATATGATTAGAAAATCCTTTGTGGACCTTTTCTTTATTACGCCACAGGTAAGCGTGCCATCCGAATCTTATAGTGAAGCCTTCTAGATCTAACAAGTCTGTGTTTTTAATAGTAATCCAGTCTTTAACACAGCAAAGGCACGAGGCTTCATAATACAACTTCAAATTTGGGACCGCAAATCCTCCCCTGTCTCTTTGATCCGTAAGTAATTTGAATCTAATTCTTGGCCTTTTTCCTTGCCAAATAAATTTAGAGAGTACTTTCTGCCGATCTTTAAATACCGAAGTTCCCCTGATTATAGGTATATTTTGAAATAAGAACAGCAATTTCGGTAATAGGCTCATCTTAATTGCCGCCATTCTTCCTGACCAAGAAAGTTTTATTCTGTTCCAGGTATCCAGATCCTTCTTTATTTCTTTCCATGTGTTTGAATAATTGTCTTCCATTAGATTTATATTCTTCATCGTTAGCCAAATTCCTAGGTATTTTACTTTTTTAGTTACTTTAATCCCAGTCTGTGATTCAAGATGGTTTTTTAGCTCTTCTTTCATATTTTTAGTCATCATTTTAGTTTTTGTTCTATTTAGTTTGAAGCCGGATAGGTTTCCAAATTCTTCTAACAAATCTATCACTTTACTAACACTTTTTTTTGGATCTTCCAACGACAACATAAGATCATCGGCATATGCTTTCAATTTATATTCTTTTACTCCAATTCTTATTCCGCGTATCTCTGAAGTTTTCCTTATCTTATTTGTAATTATTTCTAACACCATAATGAACAAAAGAGGTGATAGAGGGCACCCCTGTCTTGTACCCTTCGAAATTTCAAAAGATTCAGTTAAGTTGTTATTAATAATTAATTTAGCACTTTGTTGCGAATAAATTGCTTTTATTCCTTCCAGGAATGTGCCCTCTATCCCTGCTGTTTCCAGACATTTTAGTAAGAAATACCAGGATACATTGTCAAAAGCCTTTTCGGCGTCGATGAACATTAATACCGCGGGGATTTCATTTTTACATTCTAAGTATTCAATAACATAGAGGTGGTGCTAGAACTCCCAAACAGGCACCCCGTCAAGGTGGAGGGACTGCTAGATTCTGGCAGCTCGTGTAATTTCTTCAGCAGAGACTTCGCTCTGGAGCACCAACTCCACCTGATGCCACTAGATTTTCCCTTGCAGGTGACCACCATCGATGGCAGGGAGCTCCTAGGAGGGGAAGTGACACACCAGACACCGCCAATGTGAATGAGGGTTGCTAGGCACACGGAAACCATTGCCTTTCATATGGCCATGCTGGCAGGACTCCCAATAATACTGGGAATGAGCTGGCTGGCACTACATGACCCGGTGGTGTCATGGCATCAGCGGTCGGTCACTTTTGGGTCAGCTTACTGCTCAGAACACTGTCTGGGAGGGAAGGAACCAAGGATGACTGTAGCCAGGGTGGTGGGGTTGGCCCTGGAGCAAAAAGGCCAGGTGCCACCACAATATGCTGATTTGAAGGAGGTCTTCAGTGAAAGGGAGGCAGACAAACTACCCCCCCACAGGCCCTTTGACTGCCAAATCAACCTGCTTCCAGGGGCTCAGTTACCAGTGGGTAAGCTGTATGCCATGTCTGACCGGGAGATGCAGGAGCTGCGGCAGTTTATTGACAAGAACCTGAAGAGAGGTTTCATAAGGGAATCTAAGGCGGTGGGGGGCAATCCAGTGTTCTTTGTGGACAAGAAAGAGACTAATCAGCCTAGGTTAGTCGTGAATTATAGGGCCCTGAATTTAGTATCAGAACCCGTGACTTTCCCAATGCCCAGGATTGACGATATTTTGACACGGGTGAGGCAGGGAAAGATTTTTACCAAGCTGGACCTCAGGGGAGCCTACAATCTGATCAGGATAAGGGAGGGGGACGAATGGAAAACGACCATGTTCACCCCCCTGGGGGCTTTTGAGTACTTAGTGATGCCATTTGGATTACAATCGGGCTCAGCCTGCTTTCAAGCCTTCATGCACCATGTGTTGGGGCCCCTGCTGTACAAGAATTGCGTAGCCTTTTTGGATGACGTCTTAATCTATTCGGACGATGAAAGGCAACACGTCAGAGACGTCAGCGAGGTGCTACAGAGATTGAAGAAACATCAGTTGTGGGTCAAGCTGGAAAAA